TTTGGTCCTTTATCAATGCTCCTTTTCGCAATTAACGCCCTGAGGGAACTTTTGTGTGTGTGTGTGTGTGTGTGTGTGTATCAGTCTATATTTGGCCTGTTTGGCTTCTCTAACCTTTGATATCTAGCTTCTGATCTCTGTACTCCACTGAAACCATGGTCTCCAAGGGTGCTCACAATCTTCGTTGTTAAATCTGATAGTCTTTTCTTGATCCTCAACCTCTGTACAGCTTTGGTTTCTATTGTCCATCCCATCTTAAACATCGTCTTTACCTTCAACATTCATGACAATCTTGGTTCTCCTCCTACAAGTCTGACCATTCCATCTCATTCTCCTTTGTTTGATCATTATCTGTGCTGTACCCATTAATCAGGAGTGTCCTAGATACCGTTCTCCTGCCATCTCCTCTTTCTCTGATCGCAGGATTTCCTGAATATTCAAATAACTCTTTGTTGAAGATAATTTCTAGATTGATAAAAATCAGTCCCAATCTTTCTTCTACACTCAAGTTCTGCATCACCAACTGCTACTTGATATCTTCAACTAGATAACCCAGAGGCATCTCCACCTGAACAAACTCAACTCATTGGCTTTTCTCAAACTCAGGTAATCAACAAACTTCTCTTTTAATGTTAAAGACAGCATAATTCTTCCAGTTTCCTTTTCTATCACTTTTTAAGGTTTGCAGAGTACTTTGAATATATTATCTCATTTGTTTCTCCTATTAGCCCTATGAGCTAAGTGCTATTAACCCATTTTCTAGATTAGATAACTGAGGCTTTGAGAAATTGTGACCTGCCTCTAGATAGTCCTTAACTAGGAAGATGGGATTCAAATTACAACTTCCTGCCTCAGGTTCAATATTCCATCCACTACATCTCCTCAGTGTTATTTTTAATTCTTTTTTTCTCTCACTTGCAATATCCGCTCAGTTCTCAAGTCTTGTAGATTCTACTTGCACAGTATTTCTCACTTCCAACTATTTCTTTCTACTCCCTATGGCAAGGCTTTCCTCATTGCCTTACTTGATGATTATCCCCCCAGCCCTCTTCTTAATTGAACATGGATGTATGTATCCGGTAGCATATGGTTTACCCTTAGAAGAATGTAAACTCCTCAAGGGCAGGGACCTTGTTTCTGGAGTTTACTTTGTTTTTGTATCCCCAGCATCTGACATGGGGTTTTGCACATAGTAATCACTTAATAAATGCTGGTTGGATTGGATTGGATTGAATTGAAGCAACCACATGATCCATAGGTGTAAGCTTCTCCTTCTTCATTTTACCTTTGCACCCAGTATTTGTTTCCCTATATGTCCCCAGCTGAGAAGGCACCTTTCCTGAGATTTACCCAGGTACAAAAATCTGTATTTGCTATTCTACATAGAACCATACAATTTAGATGGGCAAAAGATCCTGAAGACCATTTAATCCAGCCCCCTCATTTTTTAGATGAGGAAACTGAAGCCCAATTGTTGTTGTTGAGTCATTTCAGGTGTGTCTGACTCTTCCTGACCCCATTTTGGGTTTTATTGGCAAAGATGCTGGAGAGGTTTCACATTTCCTTCTCTAGCTCATTTTACAAGAGAGGAAACTGAGGGAAACAGGGTTAAGTGACTTGCCTTGCATCACACAGCTAGTAAATATCTGAGGTCAGATTTTAATTCAGAAAGACGAGCCTTCCTGACTTCAGGCCCAGCATTCTATCCATTGTACCATCTAGCTGCCACTAACCCTTAGCTGCCCCTAGCTGAAGCCCAGAGGACACAAGGATATGTATGTGGCTAATAAATTTCAGTCAGGATTCAAAGCCAGGTCTTCTGACTACAAATCTTGTCCATATTCCACTGTCTCTCTTCTCAAAAAATTCCCAAGACTAAAGCAGAAAGAGAAGTCACTTGGTACTGTTTTGAGGTAGTAAAAAGAGAACATGTGAATAGTTAATTTCAGAAAACTCAGATTTCCATTAATGAGTCCAGATTTTATATGGTTTTAATGAAGGATGATAATGGGTGGGCAAAATAAAGTAACCTCATGATCAACTGGTGTGATGTTTTAAAAGTTCTAGAGACACAGTTTCTGTATAATTAACCATTTTATTAATAATAATAGCATTTTATTGATAAAGGTGTCAGTGACACTCTGGAATGCCAAAGACCCCTCATGGAATCCACTCAATGCTTATATGCTTTTGGAAGTGTGGGTGTTCTTGGGGGTGGCAATCCACTCTGGTTGGTTAAAAAGTAATGAGAGAGAATGAATGTTATAATGAGGTGGTATTCCAATGAGGCTCTTCAAGTAAGTGACACTGAGCACCCAAATCTTGGTCAAAGAGACTTATGAATTGCCATATCACCCCTCTAACAAATGGGAGAATCCACATTTACCCAAGATGTCTCTCAGTAAACACAGGAAACATGAACCTACCCATTCACCTAAACTTAGAATTTCTTTACTGTCTTTGATCAGATCTTACCTGGGTAAGCCTCTGACTAAGATTTCCCACACTGGGTAATTTCTGAATGAGGGAGTATAAATGGGGAAAAACCTTGATCCTAATTCAATATTTCAATATTAAATTCAAGAGATAAATAATTATTTCTCATAGTGGGTGGGATAACTTCTAGATTGTTATGCTGGTGAGTAGGATTACCAGATCCTTTCAATAATAATAATTATAAGAATCCACAAAACTGGAAGCTGAATCAGGCAGTAAATTCAACCAGGAGAGGACTAGCTTTATTTGTGAAAAATGATAACATATGTATGTATACACATATACATGTAGATACATTGATATATATGTACATACAAACATAGATACATTCATATCCAAGCCATTTTGGATGGGGCATCAAAAACTGAGGAGGGGTAGGAAAGGCCTTGTTTCAGAGATCCCACATGGAGCTGAGAGTTAAATGAAGAAAGGAACTGAAAGAGGCAGAGGTGGGGATAGGGAACCCCTGAGGGATGTTGACGAAGTTATACCCAGTCACAGAGGCAGTAGAGGGAACATTATACATATGGAAAAGTAAACAGGCTATTTTGACTAGAATAGAGATTATGTGAGGGGGTAATAATGTGAAGTAGATCTGGCAGGATTGGCAGGAGCCAGATTATGGAAAGTTGAAAATATCAAATAGACAAATTTGTATTTTTTTCTATAGTTATTAGAGTCAGAAAACTTTTGATTAAATGAAGGATAGGGTCAAGTCCCTGCTTTAGAAATAAAGTTACAGGTTTGAATGCCCATCTTAATCAGTGAAAGGAGGTTTCCATACCAAGAATTTCTCACACTAATGAACTCAAGTTTGTACCTTTTCTACCTCTGCAAAAAATTCAAAGCCTGTATTTAAAAATTCAATTTCCCTTGTATTTAAAAGACAATTGGAGACATGGTGAGATAGTAAGTCATCAACATGAAAAAGACCTAAGCATTATAATGGATCCACAAGGTATGCGAGTCAGCAATGACAGTCAAAAACAATGAAGCCCTCTTAGACAACATCTAGAGCACCACAGTGTTCAGGATGAGGATGAAGATAATCCTCCTATGTTCTTCACGTACACCTGGAGTGTTTAAGTCTCAGTTTAGGACATTGATTTGGATTGGGGGCGGGAGGAGGTTGTTTTCTGAAGAGAATGACCAGCTGATTGGCCTCAAGGTTTTGCCATACAAAAATAAGTTAAAAGACCTAAAAATATTTAGCCTGGAAATGAGAATGTGTGAATAGTAAGAGATTTAGGTCACAGCTGATTTCAAATATTTTAAGGTCTGTTATGTGAAAGAGGGATTCGATTTGTTCCACTTGGCCCCAGAGGACAGAGTTAGGAACAATGGCTAATGTTGCAAAGACATTTAGATTTGTTTAAGTCAGGGATGGGGAACCTGAGTTCTGGAGGCCACATGTGATCTTCTAGGTCCTTGGGTGCAGCTTTTTGACTGAATCCAAGTTTTATGGAACAAATCCTTTTATTAAGAGGATTTATTCTGTGAAGTTTGGATTCAGTCAAAGGGCCACACTTCAGGATGGAGAGGATTACATGTGGTCTTGAGGCTGCAGGTTCCTCATCCCTGGTTTAAGGGAAAGCATATTAAAAGTTATAGCTATCCCAAAGGAGATTAGTTGCTTTGGTAGGTCATTGTTCTTCATTTGGAGGAGAGACCTTGGTCTAATGGGAAGTAGACAAAATTTTCCTTGAGGTCATTTCTATTCTTGAATTCTGTGTGTCTGAGTAGTCCTGATCAGCTGGTAGGTACAGAACGAAGGGGATTAGTATTAGGTTGAACTAGGAGGTTGGATACAGATGGTGGAGAGTTTTAAATTTCAGTCTAAGGATTTTAGGCTTTAGTCATTACCACCAAATGTTTGTTACAAAGTCATAAGCTTTGTTAACAATAGGCAAATAATTAAGAAACAGATTTTTATGGATTTTTGGAAGTCACAGAAATAACGGAAGGAATTGTTTTGAAAATATATGATTTAACCTCCCCCTGATGAAGTAGAAAAATATGCACAATCATGGGTGTAGGAAATATTACATACATATATATATATATATATATATATATATATATATATATATATATACATATGCACATCTGTGTACATATATTTGTATACAAAAAGAGATCTACAGGCATAAATTCTCTGGGCTTAGGCTACAAAGAATGTCTATTTATTACTGCATATATATTTTATTACATATGCAGTGAACGGCATGTGTATTTGTGCATATATGTATATGTTATACATAATATACATACATAAATAAAATGTAAGAATGAAGTCTCTGAACTTAGGCTAAAAAGATGTTTATATTGTTATTACATATCTTTAAGGTAACTGTGAAAGGTCACAAAAGGCTTTGAATTTGATTAATTCCTTTGTACTAGATTAAAGAGGAAATGGAGAAAGAACAAATTTTTTTCCCCACATTCTCTTCCCCTAGAGGGAGACACAGCAACTGAAAGCTGAACAGGACAATCACATACCTGTCATGCAAAGGGTCAATGGCACTCCTCTGACTCCAGTTTCATTCATCTTGAATGGAGTTCCAGGACTAGAGGACAAGCATATCTGGATCTCCCTGCCATTCTGCTCCATGTATATTGTAGCCATGGTGGGGAACTGTGGACTTCTCTACCTCATTCGTTATGAGGAAACCCTACATCGGCCTATGTATTTCTTCCTTGCCATGCTTTCCTTCACTGATGTGGTCATGTGCACAAGCACACTGCCCAATACACTTGGGATCTTCTGGTTTAACCTCAAGGAGATTGATTTTAATGCTTGTCTGACCCAGATGTTCTTCATCCATACCTTCACAGGGATGGAATCTGGGGTCCTTATGCTCATGGCTCTGGATCGCTATGTGGCCATCTGCTACCCACTGCGCTATGCCACCATCCTCACCAATCCTATCATTGCCAATGCTGGGTTCATTACATTCATGAGGGGAGTGATACTTGTAATCCCATTCTCTTTCCTCACCAAGCGACTGCCTTTCTGCCAAGGCAATGTCATCCCTCACACCTATTGTGACCATATGTCTGTGGCCAAGATTTCCTGTGGCAATGTTAAAATCAATGCTGTGTATGGTCTCATGGTTGCCCTCTTGATTGGGGGCTTTGATATTTTCTGTATCACAGTGTCCTACACTATGATCCTCCGGGCTGTGCTCAAACTGTCATCAGCAGATGCTCGACAGAAAGCCTTTGGGACATGTACATCTCACATCTGTGCCATTGTATTCTCTTATACCCCAGCTTTCTTTTCATTTTTTGCACATCGTTTTGGGGGTCACAAGGTCCCTCACTCCCTCCACATTATTATGGCCAACATCTATCTCCTTCTTCCCCCAACTATGAACCCCATTGTTTATGGTGTGAAAACCAAGCAGATCTGGGATTGTGTTATAAGGCTTTTTTCAGGATCCAAGGATATTAAGTCACATGGCATCTGAATCAAAAATCCATTGATGAAGACAAAGGAAATACAATTCTCTGCTACTTAGGAGGACTGAATGAGCTTTGTCATCTCACTACCTTGCTCTGGTGGATTCTGCATTGACTCTATTCTCCTGGCTTCAATTTGCCATGATTTAAAAAAAAAACACTATATGGAGCCAACCTCAGGAGATAGTGGGAAGACTTGAAATTTTAGCACCTGCAGCTGTATAGGAGAATGGGCAGTGAGCAACCTTCAATTTGTTGATTAATTAACTTTCTTCCCAAAGCCCAGGGATCATGTCAGTGTGGTTATCATTTGAATTACTCTTGATGAGCACAGAGTAACAGCTCAACATTCATGAAAACAGGGAAAGTTTATAGTGTAGAATAAAGAATAAGAACCAGTGGCAGGATGGAGGAACTCTTTTTTTTTTTTTTGCCTTGGCAATCCATTACATGTGTCTTTAATTCTGGTTAGGAAAAAACCATCCATTTTATTGCTTCTGGTATAAAGAATCACCTCCTTAATGGTATATATGGATATAAAATTGAATCATTCTGCCTTCTCCATCATCTGTCAACATTACCCTATTGTCTCTTAATAGTAAGCGAATACATTTCCTCTTCACTTACTCTTGACATAGTTTAACTTCTCCTTCTGCCCATTTTTTTATGTCATAACCCTTTATTTAAAAGCTTAGTTCATTCTAGATTTTAATTTATTTGGCATGATTCTTATTCATCAATAACAGATTATTTTAAAATTTTGATTATATGTTCCTTCTTCTTACATTTCCCTTATGTTCTGTAGATTATTTTAAAGCAAGTAAACTGTAATATATATTCTTAAAATGTGCATTCGTATTTGCTTTTTTCTAATTAAATTGTAACACAGGGAATTGTTTTTTTTTTCAAAATTTCTGACTAGTCAAAACTTCTGTAAGATGATGATAAGTGGTTTTGTCTATAACAGTCACCTCTAGTACTTCAAAATAGCAATACATGAGCTAAATATGCCCATTAATAAAATATATAGCCAGAAGAAAAGGGGAAAGTCTATATAAGCCTTGTGAAATAAAATCAGAGTGCTCAGGGATCTAATCTCCAGTCACAATGTAGACCATAACATGCCCAATGTGAAAGGCCTGGAAAAGCCTTCAATTTGAAGTGTTTTCATTGCAAATGGCATTTTCTGCCATTCTCACTTTAGCAGTGACTCAGTCTAATCACTGCAAATGTAGTTTAATGAGGATAGATAATTGAAATTTCCCAGTTCTGAGGTAAAGAGGGCAATGAAATGGAGAATTGGAGAGAACCCAGGAATCTAGAACCAGAATCTAGAATCTAGAACCTTATCAATGTTGTGGGTCTCAACCCAGCTGCAACAACTATATCAAGGAATTTCCATGTGGCAGGTAGCTAGCAGGTCTCCTCATCCCTCAAAAAAGGAAACAACTGAAGTCATCCAACTCTAGAAAGAAGAAATGGGTGACAATGTCTGAGAGTAAGGGTCAAATATTGTAAAGACCTAAGGTAAAGCTACCTGGAAAAGAAAGGGGGAAGACAAGAAAGCTGACAAGAGAAAGGTTGGAAATAGATCCAGCCAACAAACAGATCAATGAGACACTGAAAGAGAGAAGGAAAACGTGTGTATATATATATATATATATATATATATATATATATATATATATATATACACACACACCTGCACACACACATATACACATATATATGTATGTATATATGTATATACATACACATATATCGACAAAACACAACAAATATTATGCAGTGATAGAAAATGAACTAGAAACAACTAAAAAGTAGGACAAACTCTATGGGACCTTGAGAAATAATGTAACAACAAAATGAAATTCTGGAATACTTCCAAAGAGAAAGGAATAAAAATAAGATAAATTAGAATGTAAATTAGAACTCTCATAGAAGAAATCAATAATAATAATAATAAAAAAGATCACCTAGACAGTGCAGCTTTCCAAAATAGTAGAAGCTCTGAAAATGAAAACACATTTTCCACTCAAAAACAGAGAAATGGAAGAAAACATAATAGAACTGAAACAAAAGAAAATATTTTAGAATACTATCATAGATCATAAGACTGTGGATCTAGATCAGAGAGGAAACTCAAAGATAATATTGTCCAGTGCCCTCCCTTTACAGATGAGGAAAGCAAAGTGCACAAAAAGTTTAAGTGACTTTCCCAAGTTCACATTTGATAGTGCATAACGAATTCAGAACTGATCCCAGGTCCTCTAACTCTGAGCTCATGAATATTTCCATTTCTATTCTGCCATGTTATCTTCTAATGATGATGATGATGATAGCTACCATTTATATAATGATTTAAGGTTTGTAAATTACTTTATGTATATTAACTCAATTGATTCTCATAACACCCACTGAGGTAGGTAATATAATTACCCCTATCATGGAAGAGGAAGCTGACACAGAGAGGTTAAGTGACTTGACAAAGGTCACACAACTATTAAGTATCTGAGTCAAGATTTGAACTTGGGTCTTTTTAATTGCAAGCCTTCAGTCTATCCACTCCACCACCCTAGCTCAACCAAAATCTAACACATGACTTCTATACATGCCAAAGTGACTAATATTGAATGTGATATGCACAGATTTGCTTGAAGTTCATATTATTTGAGAAAAGTGTAATGAATTAGAAAGTTTTCATCCCAAATGAGAATCAATAAATAAGACAATTACTCAGAAGTACAAAAAGTAAATAAAATATTGATTGATAGAATATATCAGGAGAGGCAAATTCCAAACTATTGAATGTGATAGTTAAATTTCATAAATCAACTCTTAAATAACAAGTATTTCAAGTAGCTGAGAGAAAATCCTTCAGCCATTAAGGAAAATTAACTCATACAGCTCAGGACTACTCCTTAATTATAAGAGATCAAAGAAGAGATTGATTAAGGAGAAATATGATATTAAAAAACAAGAATGATAAACTCTCAAAATAAAATGAGAGAATGGAAGAATCTATAGAAAACACAACCCCCAAATTTGCTGCACAACAAAGAACACATTTGAAAAATTAAGAAACATGGAGTAAAACTTAAGTGCTAAGATAAAATTTACTATATATAAGGCAATGATAAAAACAAAGATGTTGAATACAGGCATGAAAGTTCACATACAGGAAAGACAATAGATAAACTGCATTTTGAAATTTGTTATCATTATCAAAAAGTGCTATCATTAATAAATATGTAACAAATGAGATATTGAATAAATTCCCTTTGTAAAAAGTAAGCCAAATTCAAAGAACTGGAAATTGAGAGGATGCCCATCAATTGGGGAATGGCTGAGCAAGTTGTGGTATATGAATGAAATGGAATACTATTGCGCTATAAGAAATGATGAACAGGCTGACTTCAGAAAAACCTGGGAAGACTCATATAGTCTGATGCTGAGTGAAGTGAGCAGAACCAAGAGGACTTTGTACACAATAGCAGCCACGTTATGCAATGACTAAGAATGTTAAACTGAACCCTTCTCAGCATTACGAGGATCTAAGACATCTCCAGAGGCCTCGGCATGGAAAATGCTGTCCACATCCAAAGAAAGAACTATGGAAGTCGAATCGCTCTCACTTATTTTTACCTTCTGTTGAGTTTGGTTTCATCTTTCTGATGGTCCCTCCTATTGGTTTTAATTTTTACTTACAACTTCACCAATGTGAAAATATGTTTAATGGGTATGTAAATGTAAAGCCTATGTCAGATTGTGAACCATCTTGGTGGGGGGGGGGAGAAAAAGGGAGAAAAAATTTTCAACTCAAAAGCATATGAAAAAAAATTAAAGAGATATGGAAAAAAAAAGTAAGCCAAATTGCATTAAAGATGATAATATGATAATTGTATAGGATATTAAGCTTCCTATTTTAGGGGCGTATGAAGCTTACAGAAAAACAAAAAAAAATGAAGACATATAGATAAATAAACTATTGAAAAGTAGATTTGACTTATAACAGGATAGAATAGAACTTAAAAACACAAATAGCAATGTAGAAAAACAAACATGCTGTAGAATTTCTCAAGAGAAATAGAAGCTATGAGAAAATCACTAGCATATTTAGAAGCCAAAAATATAGAAGTAGAGAATTTTTTTTATTGGAAGAAAGAAAAATTAAGAAAATTGAAGTCAAGGTACTGACATTGAAAATAACACATCAATAATAAAGATCATATATTTTCCCAAAAAATAAAAACAAAGAAGACAAAGAAAAAACTTTATTACCTCAATGCAAGAAATAATGCAAGAAAATTGTCCAGACCTTCTGAATAGAGAAGTAGTGAGAATTCACAGATCACAGTTAGAAAAGGATACAATATGTTTCAAAATCCAATACAGGTATCGTTTAAATATAACTATTGGTCTGCTACATAATAAAAATTGGCCAAATACTATGTGATTGACCTAAACAACAAATTTTATAAGCAGACTGCAGAAAACCTTCAAATATGAAAGAAAACAGAAAACCACTATTGCGCATTCACAAGAAATTGGGGAAAGAAATGGAATGGTGCCTTCCAAAATACAGAGGAGCTCAAGTTGAAAGCAGAAATGGCATATTCTACAAATCTAATATTAATCACCCATGACACAATATGGTCATTCAACAAAAGAGAGATTTTGAGACATTCCAGAAGGAAAAAAAAGCATAGAGTGGATTATATAAATATGAAACAGCCAACTACTAGCCGTAGAAGACAAATAATCAATTCAATTATCAAGAAAAAAGAGGTAAGGTGATGTAATGGATAGTCAACTGGCCCCTGAATCAAGAAGACCTGGGTTCAAGTTTTCCCACTGATACATACCAGATGTATGACCCTGGGCATGCTACTTAACATCTGTGTCCTCAGAAAACTCTCTGAAACTACATGTTGCAAAACAGGTACCAGTCTGCATGGATAAAACTTTAGTGTCTGAGAGAGTGGCATACAAATGAAATCCTAGATCT